AACTTCTTTAAGGACGAAAGATTTTGCCTTTTGAGTCACCGTACATTAGTAACTCGTGCGCAGAAATCGGCGCATTGAAAGTATGTAAACATTTGGCATTCTCAACCCGAAATAATTCTTACCAGAACTTTTTTAAGCGTATTGTTAGTAACTGTGCAATGAACATGTGACTGAGAAGTGCTCTGAATTAATAATCTATCTTTCTGTCTGTCTGTCCATTTATCTGTTTATGACTGTACCGCCATTTTGTTGGACTTTGGCCGCTTTTTTATTTCCTTAATATTTTACACAGTCGGTAGGACTCCTTGGACGGGAGATTAGCCCACCGCAAGGCCTCTGCACACTGAACGGCACAAACAGAATAAATGCAAAGAGACCTCCATGCCTTGAGTGGGATTCGAACCCACGATCCCAGTGTTTTAGGGGGCGAAGACAGTCCATGCCTTTGACAGTGATGCCATTGTAATCGGTCTGAACTAATAATGTTGGTAAATATCAATATTAAGCGCCACAAATTAATGTTCAAGAATTTATTCCATTTAGCATATCCGTTCTGAATAAACTAATAATTGCTCAGATAGTAAATCGAAGGGCCATTATCGTGATCACGAGACTCAGCTGATAGACCTGTCTCCTGAGCCAGATGAATGCTGCGCACACCTTCAAACCCGTTGTCTTTAATCGTCATACCATCCGACAATATACGTTGGAAATACTGACAGAGTTGTCAATGAACCAGCGAAAGTACGAGTAAATCCATACTGTTGGTTACGAATAATATATACGAGGGTTGGAACGTTAATAATGGCAACTATTTATTTACAACTGACACAAAATAGATGCATGTTTCGAAGTTTTACTGTCCTTCAGTGTAGTCACCAGCATTGTGCACAACCCGTTGCCAGCGAAGTGGAAGTCGTAGGATACCTTTAGCAGCGCCTGTTGTGTTGATAGTTCGAATGGAGCGGTCTACTGCCTGGAGAATCTCTGGAACAGTTCTGAAGCGAATGCCACGACGTGGTTCCTTCATCTTAGGAATCAAGTCGAAGTCACAAGAGCTTAAGTCTGGGGAGTATGGTGGATGGTACAGCACTTCCCAGCCCCATCGATCGAACAAATCAGCCACAGCTTGCGCTGCATGCGGCCGAGCATTGTCCTGCAAAATGATGGGTGGGTTCTGCAGAAAGTGTCGCCGCTTCTTTCTCAAAGCTGGTCGCAGGTTGTGTTCCAAAAATGAACAGTAATACTGAGCATTGACGGTCTGCTGTCGGGAAACGGTATGCGTAAGGATAACACTACCACAGTCGTACACGAGAATCACCATAACTTTCACATTGCTGGGGTTCTGACGAACTTTTGATTTTCGTGGTGACCCGTAATGACGCCATTCGTTCGATTGGCATTTTATTTGTGGCTCGTACGATTTGGCCCATATCTCATCCAGCGTAATGATACGACGTAAGAAAGCCTCTCCTTCGCGCTCATAGCGCTCCAAGTGGTTACGAGCAGCGTCGTATTGTAGCCATTTCTGCATTTTCGTCAAATCATGCGGAACCCATCGTGATGCATATTTTCTCATGCCCAGGTGTTCCTTCAGAATGTGAAGCACAGCCGTATGCGCTAATCCTGTCTCTCGGGCCAGCTCACGAATCGTATGGCGTCGATCACTCTCCAGTAACGCGGAAACTTCTTCTTCACTGACACTAGGACGACCTGGCCGACGCATGTCTGCCATATTTTGGGGTCCCTCGTTGAAGGCTTTTACCCACCTTGCCACTGTTCTGTAAGGCAATGCATATTCCCCGCAAGCCTCTTGAAGACCTTGATGACACTGTCGTGCTGTACGGCCTCTGGCATATTCAAGCTTTATCCAACTCCGTTGTTCCTGTTTCGAAAACATCGTGACAATACTATATTAGACCGCAAGCTAACACGAGGCTCTGTTCTTCTCGTCACTGCGCATGCGCTGATGTGGGAAGGGAGAGTCCATTTGTTCTGAGGCAAGGTAGGTATGTAACTAACGTGTGGTATAAGCGACAGTATTTGGTTCCGTTGCAGCAGTGTTGCCACTATTAAAGTTCCAAACCTCGGAATTTATTGTGTACAGAGTTATTCTTGAAGGCAGAATGTTGGATAAAACTTTGTGTTAAATTGGCAATATGTCTTCATAATGTACGTTATAAAAAAAACGCTGTAAAAATTCTTGCTTCACTTACCGCATAAGGTTGTGTGATGCGATGCTAAGAAGGTATCAGTCAGTGTAGTGCATAACTTGAGAGACCGAAAGTCAAAGTCAAAGTCAAAATCATAGTTTCTTTGAGACCGGCGGTTTACCGTCAATCAGATCGTCTTGGCGTCACGCCCCTAGAGGTTCTCAACCAGATATCTTTTTCAACTCAACGCTTACGGTAATAGCCCTTATGTAACATCCCCTCTGGCGAGAAGATGGGTTTGTCTCTTATGAATATTCTTGGCCTTTCGTCAAGTATACGTATCTCACTTGTAGCATGTTATCGGAAATTCTACCTTCTGCACCATACACAAGTCCTCTGTGAGTACAGGCTTTGCCGAGCAGATCATGCCTATCTTACGTATCTCATTCCACAACGACAGCTTAGTCGAAAGCTTCTCCTCAGCCAAGTTTAAGGATTCAGTTCGTACCTCACAGGAAGCACCGGTTAATGCTGTTTAAGGAAGCTTTCACTGTGTACTGTGAGAACCATACGAAACCCACAATTACACTCTGTGGGCAGAATGCAGAAGCAAGAGGTGTACATAGTAAGTACAAATTCCCAGCAGCAATATTAGAACCGGACACACAGAATCACTGTGTACTTCCATATGAATGAAAGCATCAGAACCTAATCGCTGTTTGCATGGAGCCTTAATTACGAATATTGAGAAAAGCCCTTGAACTCTGCAACAAAGGAGCGTTGTTCGGGCCGCCCCAGTTGGATTTACCATGAGCTGTCTGCCTTGATTTCGGGCGATGTTTGCGTAACGTCATCTCAGGCTAGAAGCACAACGAGCAAACGCAGACGCGGACAGCAGAAAAGCGACAAGTCAAACATCACAGTGGCAGCTTCTAAACGCTTCTTCCTTCATCCTTCTGCTATATTCTTGTCCTCCTTTCTTCCAACTAAACAGGAGTTTGAGCGAGCGATCAGGAAGTCGAAAAGACGTGTCAACAAGCCTACTGACAGCCTCGTGAATCGTGACGGCTTTTAGCGATGGAAGTCAAGGCGAATAGGAGTGGAACGAGTGTGAATGAGGACAGATTTTGGTCAAGTGAATGTGTGAAGATGAGATATGGAGACAGGCGAGATGGTCCAAACATAGCGCTTCAGTAAAGCAAGAGTGTATCATAGCCACTGAAAAAAATTCCTCTCCCATTTGTGGCTTGAAATGGTACACATTGAATTCCCGATGAACTGTGTGAAAAGTCGTACGTACATACGAGCCTGATTTACTCTCATTCGGAATAGGATTGTCTTCTGACTATGACACACTGTACTTTCGTAGGTCATTAAAATATTTGGGAGGAACTTGCTATCTCTTATCTTCAGAGTATACTTCTCTTCTACGCCGAAGAAACGAAACTAATCGTATCATAACCCAGAAGACCACGAATTTAATTATTTAATTTTCATAGCTGATGAAATCTGAGATTACATCCTTCTGCATAACTTAACCGCTGTCAGTTGAGCAGAGGCTGTTATGAAGCCAATTCACAGCCCGTTATCATTTTACGGCACACTTCTGCTTTTCGCGTTATATCAGTCTCTCTCCTCTCTCATCATTCCTTCTCCCGTACGCTTCTGTGTTCTAGTTTTGCATTTTAATCACTTGACGCCTTTTCCTCCTATTTCCCCTCCCTTTCTTCTACTTCATTATCATCGTCCGTACTTACGTTCTATTAAGCTGTCCAGACTCATGCACCAGCAAATTATGTTCACGTTGTGCCCCTTTCCATGTTTTTCTCTTTCCAGTTTTGTACATCTCTTAGATCCAGTTTTTCTATCTGCTTCACATTAATTCGTACCATATTTTGGTGGAGGGGATTGCAAGCCATGTCTTTTTCCCCTCCAAATGTAGATTGTCTGAGTAACCGTACACTCTAACAGTTGTAAGATTTGGCACACACGTAATTGTGGATTCCCCGAACCGGCTGTCAGTTCCTTTACACACTGTCACGATTTCGGGGTGACTTAGGACGGGGTATGGATTGGTGAATGGATTTATTGACCACTTATACACATCAATTGAAGCGCCACCACTAATCTCCACACTTTATAATATATCACTGCTGCAAACACCAAGTCTTCACCAGCCTTCCGTGTCTTCACTAGATGTTTCCTAGTAACGACTTCTAACAGTAGTTTCTTCAACTCCCAGCGCTCAGGTCCTTCCTGTCCGGCGAATATGCTGCAAGTGAACTTTCTCAATTCCAGCTCAGCCGGCCTGGAGTCCTCGTTATATAGCCTCGGGGCAGATCCAACAGAAAACATCTCTTTCAACAGTTTTCCTATCGTTGTTATGGGTGGGTTTCCAAGCGATAACCCGGATTTTGTTGTCGTGTTTCCCTGCCGCTACCGAGCAACGCATGTTTCTTCTAGCTGTCGTTGCATAGTAACGGCTATGCACGCTACAATACGTATAATAATTTCTTCTAAAAGGATAAATTTCAAAATTGGAGGGAAGACGAAATAAAACATGTTTACAAGCAAATCACTGTAAAAAGAAGCCTATGGTAATCTATGAAATATGTTTTCCACATATCCCAGCCGAGTTTTGAACAAGGTACACCTGAATATAAGTCTAGATCATTACTACTATATTGACCTTGTTGATGGTAATTTCGTTTGTTCATGTTTGCAGCCACAAAAGTGTTCTGCTTTTGTTCCAGAAACCAGACAACGGTTTGTAGAAGAGCTTAGATAACTGGTTTACAAAATTACGCTCTCTTAAAACTCATAGTTGTTCATCGCCTTATGTTTCAGATGTTGCTCACGGAAACTTCTCGACGGAGACGCCGCCGTCTCAGGACGCCCCGGTCCAGAGCGACGTGTACGTCGAGAAGAAGCATGCCACCAGCCAGGGCGACTTGCCAGGTGCGTGGCCGACTGACACGACACAGTACTACTGTTCATGCATCGCCCCCAGGGAAGCGTATATTACGAGAATGTTTGTAGAGAGTCACGTATTTATTTTCGTGACTAATAATAACGGGGTTTTGATTGGATGCTTGGATTTCTTCATCGTTCCTTTACAATCACTCATAACCACAAGAAATTATAATAAATGACAACAAATCTCCTGCTTAATTCTGATCAGATCTCTCTCTATTCTGATCTGAACCACGACTGACTCATTCTGATCTGAACGGCCTCTTATACAGCGTATCGGTATCAACGGAAAAGCCTGTTGATTCCAGAGCGACGTTTTGGTTTCCAAAAATCTATCTCCGTGGGAAAATCTTTCATTTTCATATCCCACGGAACGTGTTCCACAAGGAGTTCAAGTTACATTACAGTTAATACGTCAACAGCTTGTGAGGCTGAAGTGTTGGTATTACTGATGGGAGTGATGTATAAAGTATGACATTGAGATCTCAGGTAGCATGACATACATGCCAAGTTTCATAAAGATCGGTTCAGGTATTCAAAAGTTGTTAGAGGAGGGATACACAAGCACACGCACAGAATAAGGTGATATAATAAGCCCAGTTTTATTTTTATTTTCAAAAAAGAAAAGGAAAGTTGGCTAAAAACAGATTATTTCTTAATACATGTTATAAAAAGTAAAAGTTCCTTGTGCTTTGTCTTTTGCGCCTTCCGACTTCATATACACACGAAACATCAGGCTGTAATCACCCTCACTGTTCTCAGTACTTGTGCTGTGCCAGTCTCTTTTGCTCTTTATCACTAATCTCTTCGTCTTCTGGGAATTACAGTTTCGACAGCAAGGGAAGAAGATCACACTTACATGGCCGTCATAATCGGCGTCCTTATGGCCGTCATTTTGCTACTGGCCGTCGCTATTTACTTGATCGTCTCGCGGCATCGTCAGAGGAAGTGTTTCGCTAGCCCGCTGGCCTCAAAGCCTGCACTTCCAGGCTCTAACAACCATCAGCATATTCCTCCCGGCAGCGGCTGTGGTACCGCGGAGAAAGGCACCACGATGGGTTCCTACAGTATCAAGGAAGTGGATGACAACTATAACCAATCAACACGTTGTGGGGGTGGAGTGCCTCCAGGGGTAGGAACTATGGTCTCCACGACTATGTCGACGCTACCGCCGCCCCCAGGGACGGATACAACGAGCAGTATGTTGCTCATGGACCATGTTATTGACATCAAGCTCGACGATTACCAGGAGCCATACCAAGCTCTCAAGTACGCCCCCTACTATTCCTACAGCACCGTCGTCATGGAGATGAAGGACATGCTAAACAAGTGCTCCGCGACCCAGTCAGGTATGTGCTTTATTGTTATGAGTTGTTTTGAGGCCAGTCCTGTACCCATAGGCAGCGGTTCCCATACTTCGCGATACCACGGCCCAACTCTCTGCCGTTCATCACAGAGTGTAGTTCTTCACGTGGTCGCAGGCCCCTGTCAGAAACCAAGTAGCTCTACAACCACCCTACACCTTCAGTATAGGCCATAAACTGTTATTCACAAGCACAAAATTGTCTGAAAATGTTTCCTTGGCTGCAGGCACGCTTTTCGAAAGCACATGTGTTAAATCCAAGAGCCGGGATAGCTCAGTCGGTACAGCAACTGGCTATGGGCTGGACGGAGTTCGATTCCCGGTAGAGTCAGAATTCTCTCTTCTCCACGTCGTCCAGACCGGCTCTGGTGTCCACCCAATCTCCTATCCAATGGGTACCGGGAGCTCTTTTCCCGATGATGAAGCGGCCGGGACGTGAAATTGACAACTCACCTTCAGCTAGTAACGAGGCAAAGAAAATGTGGATCTATACATCCACTCCCCCGTAAGCCTTCATGGTGCAGTGCTTAATTAGTTAAACTCAGGGACAACTTTACTTTTATCTTGTATTAAATCTTGTGAGCCGGGGCTCATCAGTCGGTATAACGACGGGCTACAGGCTGGATTCCCGAGTTCGATTCCCGGCAGCAGGCAAGAGATCTTTTTACTCTTCACCATAGTGCTCAGACAGGCTGTGGGACCAACCCAACCTCCAATCCAGTGGACACTGAGATATCTTTCCAGAGTGTAAAGCGGCCGGCCATGCAGCATGAAGATGAGTGCCGGGATAATTCCTTAATTAGGCCACGACTGTTTCCTCCCAAATCCATTCAGTTCATAATTCAGCAATTATCGTCTTTAACGTTGCGTCTCTGTGCAACTCGAGTGTCACGAATGGAGTTTGGAGAGTCCACTTACATGGGAGGAACAGCTTCTGGTTCCATTTATGTAGTGCAGTACGTAGTTGTTGTTTGGGTTGCATTTTAAATGACACGCCCTGTACTTGTGTGAAGTTAGTTTAAATTCTTGATCGATACCTTTATGAATAAGCATTGCGTCTTTAGAAACTGCGTGAAAATGACGTTAGCTGCTTTTGGGAATGGGAAAGTCATATGACGACTTCCATTCAGGTCATCGAGCAGCGTCTAATTACCAAAGTGGAATATCTTGTTCCGTTCACGTGGTGGAACGTCTCGTAATGGAGCATCGACAAACAGGGAGACACAACAAGTTCCATTACAGTATTTTATCAAGCGTATATCTGGATGTTAGGTTCAGTTGCGTCATCGCAGGCTTGTTTACCTACGTTCCTTATCTTAACAGATCTCATGACTACATCTTGCGTTACAAGTTTCGATAAGAGAAGTTTATTATCCATCAGTCTATCCCTACCCTTGTTACAACAAAAAGTCTTCCATCCTCCCAGACAACTGAACACCTTGTTAAAGAAATTACAGACTGACTTCATAATCATTTTTATAAATCAGAACGTCAACTATTTACAAGTTGTAACTTAGGTTCATTTACATATGTATATACATTCTATAGTTCTTCTTGTTTTGTTTTGTTTAATAGTTTCTGGATGCCAATTAAAACTGTGTAATAGGTTTCCGTCATAATGCCATGCTGCTATTAATATCTGAATATAAGAAAATATTTAAAAAAATCGGTTATTGTCTATACATAATCGATACCTGACAGATTTTTGTAATTCAAATTAATCTCTTTGATTTTATCTTTGCCTCTTGTTAATCGTGTATTTTACATGCATCAAATGTTTTCATAATGAATAAATTTAATTTAGAGACTCTGTAGTGTGTTGTTACAGCGTGTATGCAATTGTGCGTCATTAATAGTGTTCTGTCAGTCACGCTGTCATATATAGTGGCGGGGTTGCTGTTTCCTGCTGCTGCAAGTGTTATTAGAATCCGTTCCCTGCCATAATCAAGGTACTAGTGCAGTATTCCGATCCAGAAAACCCAAATTAACCGCTGTGGGGCTTCGTTGCGCTGACCACGTGACATCCTCTATACGCTAAAGTTGGTACTAACTTCGCCGACAAGCGGCGGTCGCTCGGTCGGTATAGCTCGCTTGCGGAATAAAACCACGGAGTTTTCTTTTTAGTTTTTTAGTACAGTATAAGCAGAACTGTAGTGCAGGCGGGGCGATCGGGCGTGGCGCCGTTCTAAAAGCAGTGGTGTCAGAAGTGAATAAATTATAGTTTCTTTCATCTGTGACCTGATTTTAGGTCGAAGTTTAATGTTAGCCTATATATGTTTTGTGACCTCTCTGTCGTTCAGTTCTTACTTACTTACTTACTTACTCATGGAGTTGAGTCCTTCTTGAGGACCAGCCAATTCTGCAGCTATCAAAGAATTTACCAGAATTTTAAGGAACCAGAAGGTTCATTACCGTGTTTACAAGAGCCCTCCACTGGTCCCTATCTTGAGCCAGATCAATCAAATCAATACCACCCCCATCCCCCCTCTCTAAGATCCATTTTAATATTATCCACCCACCTACGCCTTGGTCTTCCCAGTGGTTTCCTTCCTTCTGGCTTTCCCACCAATATCCTATATACATTGCTCTTCTCCCCTATTCGTGTTACATGCCCTGCCCACCTCACCCTCCTTGACTTTATCACTATAATTTTACTTGGAGAAGAGTACAAGTTATGAAGCTCCTCATTATGCAGTTTTCTCCAACCTCCTGTCACTTCATCTCTCCTCGGTCAAAATATTCTCCTCAACACCCTGTTCTCAAAAGCCCTCAGTCTGTGTTCCTCCCTTAATGCCAGAGACCGAGTTTCACACCTATACCGAACCACAGTCAAGATTATAATTTGTCGTTCAGTTCTCATTTAAAAATAAGAAATTGCCATTAAGTAAAAAAAAGACATTTTCTTTGTCCCGGAACTGCTTTCCAGACCGGCCCGCAAATTTGTTCTTAAAACCAGACACCTGTTTGTATTTGTAAACACGTTCTTTAGGCGCAATACCATCTCTGGGGAACACCTGCTGGAAGTCCCCACTCTACTCTTCGTGCACCTGAACCAATCAGAGAACTGTTTATGTACGTAGATGGGGCGGCTAGAATCTTATATCACACGTATCTTGATGTAGACTAAGATAGTTCCTGAAATGTCTGCCATTTTTAAGATTTTATTCAGTTTAGCCTCTCTGAAAGCTCTGAATTCTATGATGCTTTATATTAGAATAAAAAGGCAAAGTCCCTGCCTTTATTTAATTAAGTACTATGCCTTGAAAGCGTATGGGGAGTTGATGTATAGAACCACGTTCTCTTGACGTCGGTACTAGTTGCAGGTGAATGGTCAGCTTCACTCTCCAACCGTTTTACCCCCGGGGAAATAGCCCCCGGTACCCATTGGATAGGAGGCTGGGTGGGCCCCAGAGCCGGTCTGGATGACATGGGGAATAGAAAATTCTTGACCCTACTGGGACTCAAATTCCGAACCTTCGTCCGTCCAGGCCGTAGCTAAAATATTCCAGTTGTTAAAATCTGTCTGTAATAAACTGGTGCTTTGCACAAAAACAAACGTGCATCCCCGCACACAGTAGCACAGAAAAACGAAATAGATTTTCTTTCCAACCTACTTTTCTCAAGTCTGATGTTTTTCGATGTAACTGAACAGAAGCTACTGTTAAGCCTTCTGGGATGTCACATCGTGTAATCCGATAGATGTTCACCGAAGTTTCGAAGGAGCGAACTGCTTTCATCTTCATGATCGGAGATTTGACCAACAATTAATGAGCAAGAATGTACTCACTGTAAGGCTTTTCCTATGAATTTTGTACCATAAGGTATTTTCTGCCGCGATAAATCGACCGAGTGGCGGAGCGCTGCTCAAGTTATCTGCGCATGAAACAACGTACTTAGGACATCAACGACTATACAGAGTGTATCACAACTTAACAGGAAAAATTCAGGAACGGACTCCTCATACAGAGAGAAGAAAAAAAGTTTACGACAACATGGGTCCGGAAATGCATATAATTACAGAGTAGTAATTGTGTTTGCACGCCACTGAAAAGAACTGACAGAGGAAAATTTATCAGGAAGTAATCACAGGTGACGTCATGATGATCATAGAGGTGTCCTCCCAGTGTAAGGTCGACCCACCAATAGAAAGGCTGTCCTCCCAGTGAAAGGCCGACACACCGATAGAAAGGACTCATGTCGCCAATTCTTTTCAGTGGCGTGCAGACACAATTACTACTCTGTAATTATATGCATTTCCGGACCCATGTTGTCGTAAACTTTTTTTCTTCTCTCTACATGAGGAGTCCGTTCCTGAAGTTTTGCAGTTGACTTGTGATACACTCTGTATACGGGATAAGACTCTTGTGGGTTGTAGCATTGTGCAATATAAATTGCGGATTCAGTCATCCATCCTGAAGACGGATGCAGGATACTCTTTTAAGTCTTTGGTATCCACCTACAAGGCAGAACCCACACCACGGAAGACAACAGTTTCGGTGCATACCGCCATGATAACCTGGAAACTTACCTTGTATGAGATCCAGATTTAAATTTAAATAATTATTTTCTGGGTAACAATACTGGGTGATCTAGGAGGTATTAACAATGTCATCATCATCATCGTCATCTGTTGCTCCTTTAGGAGCATAGGGCTGATGCGAAATTTCTCCATTTTGTTCTTTCGTTTGTCAACATTTTCACCTCTCTCCAGGTCTCTACTTTTTCACATATTTTCTCTTCTACAGAGTCCCTATGTTCCACAGGCCAGTTCTCGTCCTCCGTTTCATGCCAATGGCTCTCAAAAATTTATCTGGACGTAACTTCACTTCAGTTTCTTTGATGATAATAATAATCTAAGGTGTGTAGATCATCAGTCTATAGCACCCGATCTTGGTGATGGGGCTGCCATCTAAGCTTCCAGGCAGCCTGATTTTTCTGTTGGGGTTATCTCCCTTAGCTTTCGAAGATCTCCCTTTCCCACAAGGCAGTGGTCTCCCTCTTCATTATCCCCCAGAGAGAGTGGGGTGCCTTTATACAATCTTCGCCTAACCCTGGCTAGGGGCCCTCACAAGGTACTATCTACCGAGCCAGCTGAACCCAGGATTTTTTTTAAAGAGGTGTTACTCCTCTATCACTCCCCATTTTGTCCTGGCTTGTGACAGGCAGAGCCTGGCCTCCCAAAAATCGGCCCACTTTGGCTGGGTTTATTACCAAAGTGCTGTCTCGGTATATAGTCCTGGTGTATGTAAACGTCAAGTAAAATACAGTTTTAACGTTTAAAACTTCTCTAGGTATAATTAGAATGACCAAGTCAAGGAGGATGAGGTGGACAGGGCATGTAGCACGAATGGGAGAGATGAATGCATATATAGGATATTGGTGGGAAAGCCAGGAAGAAGGAGACCACTGGGAAGACCACGGCGTAGATTGGTGGACAATATTAAAATGGATATTAAAGACAAAGGATGGGATGGTATGGATTTGATTGAACTGGCTCAGGATAGGGACCAGTGGAGGGTTCTTGTGAACACGGCAATGAACCTTCGGGTTCCATAAAATGCTGGAAAATTCTTGAATAGCTGCAAATTTGGCTTCTCCTCAAGAAGTGCTCAGCTCCATAAGTAGATAAGTAAGCAAAACTTTATATTCCTGAAACGTCCGAGTTTAACAGTCAGTATGTGTCGTTACGTTGGGGGCTATAAGATTCGTTGCACGAAGAAAGGAACGGAAATTTGAGCCAAATCAAATCTACTGGAATGTATATAGACACGAAATTATTCTTAAGCGCTCTTTAGAGGAAAGAATTTGGTGATAAAACTCTTCATTCTCTGTTACAGCATGAAGTATTTTGACAAGTCACTTAAATTGGCGTGAAGTTATTTACGCCGATCCTTCTGCATGACTAAGAAAAGAAGCTCTTTCAGTGGGTGTCACAGAGGACGGTGATATGATCAGGACAGTCGTGAATCTAATTTTAGACAGCAAAAGTAATAACATACCATGATTTATACGGATGTGATGGTACGTTTCGTTGGGAAGGTATAGTGTTCAAGGGTGGGAACAGCTGTTGCTCACGGTTTGACCAAACAAGTTTTTATAAAGAGACTACGACGACGACCACAATAAATCTACGTCTTTTTCTCTCTTTCAATCCTCTTTATCTCGCATCATTCTCCTCTCAGACGTCATTAATTCTATCTAGAGAAATTGGACCGCAACAGTTTAATTGCATCGCATTTGTAATGCAATATATGCCGAGTTATCTTGTTCTCGTATCAGCAGAGTTATTGTACAGGTAAAGGTAAAGCTGTCCCTGTGCTCAACGAATTAATCACTACCCCATGAAGGCGTATGGAGGAGTGGATGTATTGCTCCACATTTTCTTGGCCACAGCACTAGTAGGATGTGAGTGGTCAGTTTCACACTCCTTCCTCTCTACACCCGGGGATAGAGCCCCCGGTACCCATTTGATAAGAGGTTGGGCGGACCCCAGAGCCGGTCTAGACAATTTGGAATACAAAAAAATTTTGCCCCCACAAGGACTCGAACTCTGACTCCTAAGTCGTCCAGCCCATAGTCGCTATACGGACTACCCAATCCCGGCTCATCTTCGTTAGAACTTAACGAAATTGTCAAGTTGCCGTCTGTAATTCATGTTACGAAAGGGTTGCTTATTTGAATTAACCACATTTATCCCAGCCACCAAACTTTATAGGGTAATATAGTGAAACACTTCCTTAGTCTACAAAAACCCGGGTTTGAGATAACCCTAGAATGTGGTAATGCTCCGTGTGACCAGTGCTACTTATCAACGCAGGGAGTGCTGTGAAGCGGGGAGAAACGGAAGAAATTCAGAGAAAACCCTGATCCAGCCATTGTGGTCCTTTGCAAGCGGCGACTCGGAAGGGAGAGCCGAACGCCGCTCCGGCCGAGTCGGCCCAAAACACAACGTTTCGCTGTAGGGTCGTGTAGAAGACAGACTGCATATCGAAGACTGGCGCTCTTTTATTTTTGTGGTGTCATCAAATTTAACTTTCTTAATTGTTATCGGGTTTCAAGCGTCTGTAATAAAATCAGTTTCATATTACCTCATGTGTACTGGTAGGCTTTGGGGTCATCATCAACATAACATATGTCTGCGTGTTTTCATATCAAGGCTTACTTTTCACGCAGATAACATTAATATTAATATGTTCAATTCCCAATCTGTTCTTCCCCTAGGATGATAGTAAGAGAAATCCAGTGACCTCATCGGTACTTGAACCCGCGACCTTCCGAATTGTAGCATAGTGCCTCAACCAACTACGCTACCGCTCGCCCCCCTAGGATGATAGACAAAGTTTAAAACCCATAAAAATAAGTTAAAATTATAATTATTTTTTATTTTTTAAGCTTTACGTTTTTACTACTGATCACAGTGGCCGCACGATTTGAGGCATGAAATGTCTTCGCCTTCTCGAACACTGGGGTCGTGGGTTCGAATCCCACTCCAGGTATGGATGTCTGTCCGCGTTTCTTCTGTGTTGTGCTGTGTAGGTAGTAGTCTTGCGACAGGTCTGATCCCCCTTCCAAGGAGCCCTATCGCTGCCTATAAGATCTCAAGTTGAAGATTAATTCTGATTGGAACCGATCAGAGGACCTAATACGAAAGGTAGAAAAGTAAGAAGATATTTTTAATTAGTCACGGACATGCAAAGGTTACTGATCTGAATGGTAGCAAGCATTCCACGAATTTGATCTGACCTTAATTTAATGAGGAATATAATTAAGATTTGTTGAAGTCCATCTACGTTAAGAACCAGGTTACATCATGCTTTATGTAGACAGCCTTACTGAAGAGAAGTCTTGTTTCAATTTATCATCGGGGCACGAATGCCGAAGTACATTGAAAACATTGTAACTTTTAAACGATGACGTCACAGGCTACGTCACTAACCAGCGACGACTCACCCTCGTTCCTATAGGAAATGGAGTCTGCTTTCGCTCACCAATATTAGAACTTTGTCGCATTCACGATTGGTTTGGTAACTACTTCTAATTATGAAAAAAATCTCTTTGGCCTGTAGTCCTCAAGCGAACTCTACCGACTGAGCGACCGCCGCTTATCGGCGAAGTTAGTACAAAATTTTGAGTATAGAGGATGTCGCGTGGTCAGCGCACCGGATCCCCAAGGCCGTTAATCTCGGTTTTCTAGACCGGATTTAAAGTATGACATCAATTTAAAACGTAATTCCAACAAACCCTTTGTGGTTGGAAATAGAGCTTATGAACCCGGGCAAAAATTCTGTACCTAATACATTACTGAACAGAAAAGGTGTTGAAAATTAATTTTATACAAGAGAAATCCTGACGGATAGTCACCCGGATTTCCGTTGTAGTGCTTCGGAGAAAGCAGGGCTCTTTCGTATCAAATTTTCTTTTCAGGATGGTCAGTCATCAGTCTAGATCGAGGTTTGAGAAATGGCTTCTGACGAGGAGTTAGCCCAACATTTTTCGAATGTTGCAATATCTTATTTATTTTTTTGATCTACAGATGCATCATATGACTACGCCGTACCGGAAATGGGCACGATACCTCTACTGAGCCCAGAAAACACACTTCCTCTGCCTATGGTTGCTAGCGCTCCCAGTGACAAGGACAGTGTTTTCTCTAAGGGTTCTAGCTCCAAGGGAAGCAAGTCAGAAGATTCAAAAGGCAAGAAAGTAAGTCTGCTTTAACACAGAAATCATATATTTCTCATATTTACTACTTTTATTCATTAATAAGATAACGGTTGTATGATTCATTTTATGCAAACAATTTGTAATGAATTTCATGGTTTTCCATGGCCCTCCATAGACTTTTTGATATTATCCACCCACCTACATCTTGGTATTTCTGTTGGTCTCTTTCATTCTGGCGTTCCCACCAAAACCCTATATGCATTCAGCTTCCCCCCATTCATGCTAAATGCTCTGCCCATCTCATTCTTCATGACTTGGTCATTCTAGTTATACTTGGTGAAGAGTACAAGTTATGAAGCTCCTCATTATGCAGTTTTCCAGCCTCCTATCACTTAATCTCTCTTCGGTCCAAGTATTCTCCTCAGCACCCTGTTCTCGAACACCCTCAGTCTCTGTTCCTCCTTTAATGTCAGAGACCAAGTTTCACAACCATATAGAACCACAGGCAAAATAATACTTTAGTGTATTCTAATTTGTATAATTTTTAGGCAGCAGACAAGAATTTCTATATGTATAATGTAAACTCAGTCGTAAATGTAACACTTTATTGTATTTCTTGCTTCCTTCTTTGACACTACATGTTTCGACCGCAACCGGCCATCATCAGGTGTATTTTACTTCACGTAGCTGTCACACTGCACTCAATATTAACATTTAAACTCCAGATTTCCAATTGTTCATTGCTCTGTTGTCGATCGGCACCCGATATTCCAGAACTTGCCTTGTCGATTTTTATATTTAAAATCTTTATTAATATTCACACTTCGATTGGTTTAAAATTTTAAACCAAATCGACAAGGCAAGTTCTGGAATATCGGGTGCCGATTGACAACAGAGCAATGAACAATTGGAAATCTGGAGTTTAAATATTAATATTGAGTGCAGTATGACAGCTACGTGAAGTGAAATACACGTGATGATGGCCGGTTGCGGTCGAAACATGTAGTGTGAAAGAAGGGGGACAAGAAATACAATAAAGTGTTACATTTACGACGGAGTTTATATTGTACATATAGAAGTGTGGAATGTAACAAGATGCTTAAATATAATGTAGTAAGCAGACAAGAAGATAAAAGGTTCTGGACTGAATGGTAGCGAGCATTACCCGAATTCAGTTACCTCTCAGTTATTTCCTGAATCAAATTTTGATATGTTACTGCGAATCACAAATATTGTATCTGTGTCACATTTTCGAAGAATCTGTTGGCTACTTCCATATCATGATTTTGTCCTGCATTCTGGTGATGTGTAGTTACTCGTCGTTTTCTCTGCATATACTTCTAGACCAACATCCTTACTAGCATCAATTACCGTTTCTGTGTTTTTTTTAATGGTATCTGTGTTATCTCCCAGTAGATCCACATCATCAGCATAGCCCAGCAACTGACTTCCCTAAAAATATAATTTTTTTGTCCTTTGCATACTACGGCCTAGTAGAGAACACGCAGAAATATAATGACATTTGCGCACTCTTCTTACCAGCACGTAGTGTAGTCATGGGAAGAGGGTTTAGTTAACGTTCGAATCCTCATTAGCAGTTTTTGTTGATCCAGTAAAACCCAGTGGTTGTATAGGTAACAGCTGCTTTAACATAATAAAACTCTGCATTCTGCCCGCACAGTGTACCTGACTGTTCCCTATGGTTCACACATTAACAGTGACTGTTTCCCTAAACAGCATCAGCTGGGTGAGCTTTGCAGCGGAGACGTAACGTGTCTCCTGTGAAGTACGGACTGAATTTTTACATGTGATTTAGAAGAAAATTAATCCTTAAAGAGGCTATTCGTATGAATAATTCTATTAGCGGCTATTCCCTGCTTAAAACATAGGTACTTGGGTTATATCGTGGTATTGAGAAATCAGCCTTATCCCGGGTGCAGAACTTGTACTCTTTTTGTCTTACCCATAAATCTGTGTGACGCTTTCATCTGCAATTCAAAGTAAACAACTTATCGAATGTTCTGTATCGTTAAGCGTATTGAAGATTGATGTCACCTGTAGACTAAAGGCCATGTAGGCGGATTACATCTCTACCATCTCATCAGGTGGTCTCCCCGTCAAGTTTGTGGAGGGTAGCCGTAATTGCATGACCCTAGTTAGTTTCCATTTGAACCAGCTTTAACATAAACATATGAATTGTCTTAGTGATATTCATTAAGGCAGTACAATTAATTTCTCTCCCGGTATTATTAATGAATAACACAACCATCATAATGAAGACGAAAAGTAACAGCCGAGAGAAGTCCGGCGCTCAAGACCGACTCCTCCGCCGTTGTTGGAATGATTATTTATAGGATGGTTGAGCGGGAAAATGGCGGGCCCATTCGCAGTATGCGGGGGGGGATGGAAGACTACTGTAGGAACCATAAAGAGCGTGACTAATTAATTTCGCAGAAGGAAATAGGGGAGACAGGAAATGTATGATATTGAAGTTTATTGTATGTGTGTTTCTGCGTATAAATGAAACACTAAGCGTATATTTTTCATCTTTTCACGCCCCTACGAACATAGCTAAAAAGCTGTACACACATCAGATGGGTTGAGGGCCCAGAAAATCATAAAGGGATGATTATATAAGATTAATCTTTAATCATCTGAGGGAATGAAAACCATATTGCGTCATTGTTACAGCTTGTCGTCATTAAGCGTTGCCCCATCATTCCCACAAACGGTGATGGTTTTTCAGACATTCGGTAACGTGCAGGATTTGAAGTTCTCACAGTGGTGATTATGAAGAGTTCTGTGATGTAACGCCGTGTAATTATATCAACGAGACATAACACGAGATAATTTTTGTGTAGGATTATGAATTTTGTCCTGTGGGATGTAGCGTCATGTAGCCCGTTGAAACGTCATCCGACGTTTCGAAAGAACATATCGCTTCCATCTTCAGGGGCGAAGAATAAGTCAAGCAAGAAACCAGAATGATGCAGGTAGCAAGCAGCTGTTTGTTCCCGACTTCATATTGATTTCTGGCTTGTATTATTCTTCCACCGTGGAGATGGATACATGTTCCTTCGAAACGTAGGTTGACTTTCAACTGACTACGTGGCATTATATACCGACAGATAAAACTTTTCATAACCACTGCTTTGAGAACCTCATATCCTACATTATCTATGATGTTAAATATTGTAGACAGAAATAGAGGTAAAAAAATGTAAAGCTATCCCTGTAACAGGCCATTAAGTCCTTTAGGGTTGTGAGATATCGAGGCTCCCACATTTTCTCTAGACAGTCGGCTCACAGATGGCGGTGAGGTTGTCAGCCTTACGCACGGGCTACCTTTTACCCCCCAGGAAGATTCCTGGTACTCATTTCTGTTAGAGGCAGAGCCAACCTCAGGGCCATAGTGCGGCTGGAAGGATTATCATCATCATCATCATCAGTAATCTGTCAAGACGACAGGTCCACAGTCTCTTTCAAAACAATTCCTCCACTTAATGCGATCTAGAGCTTTCTCCTTCAAATGACAGTATCCTCTTCTGTCCCCAAGGTCATCCAGCATCTTCTTACGTCTTCTTCCTCGTCTTCTTGTCACTTCTATCCGCCCATCTATCTTNATTAGGTCGATCATATAGTTCTGAAATATAATTTTCCCAAATTTTCAGCACTTGCCTCTGATCTACTATTCTATTCCCCTGGGAGTCTTCGATGCCAACATTTTGAATCCCATGATTCTCTTTCCATCCTAGTTCTTTTGTCTTCATGTACATCAAATCATAACGGCCTGTTCTTTGAAATTCCATAATCTCATTACATATCTTCTCAAGATATTCCTTTTTGGCCCTGTCCGTGGCTCTTTTCAATTCATTCCTCAGTCTCCTGTATTTCCTCCTGCCTTCTTCATTGTTGACATTCTTCCATTTCCTTCGCTCCTCCATTTTACTTATCATCTCCTGTGTAACCCATGGTTTTCTTGCTATCTTCTCAACTTTACCTACCAAATCACGGAAGGATTAGGTCAATTGAAAAAAAAAAGAACATGGTAAGGAAAATGTCGTGACCTAATTAGAGGTATTTTTTCCGGAATTTTCCTCGAGGGACGAAGTAAAGCCACGAAAATGTCGTGATAGAAAATGTTCAAGAAAATCATCCCGAGAACCTCTCTAACATAAATCAAAATCAGGCGTGTGTTCATGTGAAAATAAATTTACAAATAGAAATACCCATTATACAAGTAATTATACACATTACAACTTTTGTACTAAACGTTAGGCTTATCGAAGTATGACTGTTCTATGTTTTGTATTCATCTATCTTCAAAGCACACGGGCTGGAAACATTACGAAACTTTTGTAGTGCAATTGAACAAGACAGTTTGTGGATAATATAACAAGTGTAAGGGCTTTGGAGAAAGGGGAAGCTGGAAATTAATAACAGAGATGAGTTATTAGAGAATCGTGTTATTGAAGCAAGATGAGAGGTTGACGCATGTAATTAAATGTCTGTGCGTGGCATAAATTTGCACGTAATTACTCTTTGCAATGACATGAACCAAGGTTATTTCACTTGCAGTGCTCTAATAACAGAGCAGTTCCCTTTGTGTTGTATATATGTCAGTTATATATTACGCAATTTAGAGAAGGAATGACAAATTCCAAGTTCCAACAAATGTACACTTCAACATGGATGCCGTCCGTTTTAAGTTTAAGTTATTTAACAATTAATTGTTAAAGAACAAGGCAACCATCCAGTGTAACGATCTTTACTAAAGTGTTTTGTTAGTATAATTGCCAGTGTAAAGTCTTGTATAAAGCTATTTGTTTTCAATTTCTTCATTGTTCTATTTTTAATAGAAAACAACGTTTTGGTAATTTGTTCTGTTTCCATTTTTAAGCATGGACTCCGCCATGTGGGGTGGCAAACCATGCATCTCCACCCTCCCCGACATTTGTCAATACAATTAAAAATTTAAAAAAGGCTGCGAATATACCAAATATTAACAATGACAATTACTTTTTTAAGTATATATCATTTTATTCTGAACACTCTGGGGTCACCAGTGAAAATAGCCTTAAATGTAAGTTTTTAAGAAAATGGTTGTCTGTTCATCTTGAGCTGCCATCTGATGAAAAACTAACCCCATAAAAAATTCCTGGTGACGCCCATGATATCAGGAGATGAGAGTAAAGAATTAAAGAATAATTTTTAACTCAGCTTTGACATTATTTTTTCCTTCTGTCCTTAAATATCTGTACGCAGCTCTCGTTCTTCATAATCTAGAAATTTCCCGCCTTGTATGAAACCAGAAGTTTCATTACTATGTTCAGTAGACCTACAAATTGTAGCCCCTTATCCTAAGCCAGATATATCAAATCCATATTTCTACATAACAAGCCTTTAATATTTTCTTTGTAACTCTTAAAAGGCTGATTTTATTTCTAAACAATACATACAAATTCAGTCCGTACCTCACAGGAAACACATTACGTCTTCTCTAAAAGATCAATCAGTTATGTCGTTTAAGGGCACAGTCACTGTCTACTGCTAGAACCACACGAAACACGCTAATATACTCTGTAGGAAGAATGCAAAGTTATACACACACAGAAGCACAGTGCTCTAAAAGGTTAATATCACCCCATCTACACCTGTCTCTCTTTCTCTCAATCAGCATTTTCGACAAGTGTCTGTGGTTTCTCGAATTTATCGCCGTATAGTTTGCTGGAAATCAAAAGACGTTTCGGAGAAATTTCGGCCTGTAGGAAGACAATCCTAAGGTCTTTCGCGGTTATCCTCAGTCCTTCCAAGCAAGTGCTGGGATTGTGCCTCGATTGGGCAAGAGCCGAATCCTTCCCAATTTTTTCCAATCCGCCATTTATGTTGTGGCATGTAGACCTGTTACTAGGCAACGACCGTGAAAAGAGCAACTATACAACAGCCGTTGCTAGATAACGGCCCGCAACAAATACGAACGCAACAATCCCACGGCAACAAGAGGATACAACAATAACTGGAAGCGTTTTTTTCTGCTCGATCCTTGCCGAGATTTAAGCAGGACAATTTAGGAGCTAGAGTTAGTGAGGAATTTGTTCGTGAGAGAGTGAGTGAGTGAATGAGTTAGAGAACTGATGCTTTTCAGCCGTTGTGAGCTGTTGCTGTCAGAAGCTGGTAGGTGAGACGAGGGGACAGTTCGGGAACTCAGAGAGTGGGAAATGTCTGCTATCGAGAGCCGCTACCAAGCAACGGCAGTGAAGACGCGACTGTATACACTAGAGTGTATGTGTAACCGTGAACTGTAAAGTGTAGTCACGCGCTGTATCAAAGTGTGCAATAAATCTGGTCATCGATTTAAACCCGTTTATAGTCGCACTCCATATATGTGACATTAAATTTTCACGTGTTTGGGTCATTATAGACGGGGTTTTGAATTGGATGACTAACTTTACGACCCTTATACGTTCAAAACTCGGGACTACAGGTAATAGAGAGCTACCGCTATTCTGCACACTTTCCAGTTCACCGTTGCACGCGCACTAGGGTTCCAAATCTTTACTAGCCGAATTCTGGCAACGGATTTATAACAAGATCACGCATGAAATCTACGTAACGCCTAATTTCCTTTCTTGCCGTTATTCTGCAACTGCCAATTCCGAAAACTCGACTCAGTTTAATTCCTCTGCTCCAAAGCTCATATCCCGGCAGGTTGGCGTCTTGAAGCTCGACCCTTCACTTCCCACTCAGCTACTCGATTACTCCTGTTCTTTATTACTTCATCCCGTCTTCTGCGTCTTTTTATAACACCTCGGCATGGGCAACAGAGAAAATACAGCCTTTATTGTTAAGGAGGCGTCTTTACCGGTCCGTTACCTAGCAATGTACGTCATACTGTTTCATGCGTACGCTTCACGGGAGTTTGTTTACCGAGTCATTGCCTAGCAATGGGTATACACGTGGCAATATTATCCTACCATTCGACACCATGTAGTTTAGGCACTTACAGCAACATAAATTGACCTACACAACCCACATATTCGTAGCATTTCTTTATGACCTTAAAACGCCTACAGATGTGTACAAGGTTACTAACCTATTTCCGGAACATTTATCGAGCAGTGTTTTTATTGCTATAATTTTTGTGTTTGCCTTGTGTTTCAGTCGCCCAGCCAGCAGGAGGTGCTCAGTGCCCTCAAGCGGCGACTGGAGCAAACTGCCGTGCCGGAATTTCCCCGACACAGGCTCCGCATGCTGTCCAAACTGGCAGAAGGCGCCTTCGGCACGGTGAGTTGTTGTGTCCTGTATATTGCTGTGAAGCCAAGGAACACTATTTTGTGTGTAGAACAAGTCTGACAGCTAAGGGATCAATCCTGTATATTGCTGTGCAGCCAAGGAACACTATTTTGTGTGTAGAACAAGTCTGACATCTAAGGGATCAATCCTGTATATTGTTGTGAAGCCAAGGAACACTATTTTGTGTGTAGAAGAAGTCTGACAGCTAAGGGATCAATCCTGTATATTGCTGTGCAGCCAAGGAACACTATTTTGTGTGTAGAACAAGTCTGACATCTAAGGGATCAATCCTGTATATTGTTGTGAAGCCAAGGAACACTATTTTGTGTTTAGAACAAGTCTGACATCTAAGGGATTAATCGTCAGGGACATTACCGCTCCACAACCCTCTTCGCTTCTTTTTGTCCCTGTGACTACTGTAGGTAAGAAGGGACGATGTGTAGGATTTGAGGTTCTGACACCAGAGTTTGTGGGGACTTCTGTCTTCTGGGATATAATACCGTGTAGAAGGCGCATTTGTCCCTTTTCCTAATTAGTTGAACACTGTGCCGTGAAGACATACGGGGGGGGGATGTATAGCTCCATCACTAGACTGGTCAGCTTCACGTATCTGCCGCTTTATTCTCGGGGAGAGAACCTCCAGTATCCTTCCGATGGGCCCCAGAGTGTTTGGATGTTATGAATAACAGAAAATTCTTTCACTGCCAGGAATCGAACCCGGACCGTCCAACCCTCTGACACCTTGTAGTTAGTTTAAATTTAACCGACCTTTCAGAGGAACATGTCTCCATCTTCAGGGTCAAAGTGTCCTTGTCACCTGTTTTCACGCTGGCACTTAATTGAGGACATAGATAACCTCACGTTTACCATCCCTGAATTGTGAGATGTAAGCAATGAAGAGGGCGTTAAAGATTTTCTCCTAGTTCATAAATGGGCGTTAATCTAAATAGTTTATGAAGTAAATGGAATGTATTCCCATTGGCACGCAACCATGTAGTTCTTGTCTCCGACAGAACGCTCATATCAGTGAGGACACGCCCATGCGTGCCAATCAAACCGAAATGATACACCCATGTGCCGTCAACAGGTACACGATTCCAAGAACATTAATAATGTAGAGAGACTGGAGTGCGTCGGTTCCGTAATGTTAACTAACTCCATGGATGTGTCCTTGAAAAGCCACCATTTGCTCACCTACCTAAGAATTTACCAACATTTTATGGAACCAGGCACTTCAGTACCGTGTTGACAAGAGCCGTCCACTGCTCTCTATCCTAAGCCAGATACCACCCCATCATATTTCTTTAAGATCAGTTAAAATATTATCTTCCCATGTACGTCCAGGTCTTCCTAGCGGGCTCTTTCCTTCTGGGTTTCCCCACCAGAACCTTATATGTGTTCTGCTTCTCCCCCATGTGTGCTACATGCCCTGCCGATCTCATCTTCCTTGACTTGATCATTCTAATTATAGTATTTGGTGAAGAGTACAAGTTACGAAGCTCCTCATTATGCAGTGTGCTGTAATGTGGAATACAAAATGACGAAGGCTATTCCTTGACGATTATTTGAAAATAGTGACAATGAAATGCAAGTTAGTGAAACCACCACATACTGAATTTCAACAATATCTGCGAAAGAGTTTGCGATACATGTGTGACAGTCCGTTTAACCATTTAAAGCGCAATGGTTTTTTTTCCTTGGCACTACAGCCCCAGTGTACCTAGGCCTACCTCCATGAACTGCTCCGTTCACTTCGGGTTTTCTAGATCTTGCACATTCGGTAGGACTCCTTGGGCGGGTGATCAGCTCGTCGCAAGGCCTCTACCTGTAGACAAACACAGAAAAACACACACAAACATCCATGTCCTGAGTGGGTTTCGAACCCACGATCCCGTCTTCCGAGAGAGCGAAGACAGTGCATGCTTTAGACCGCTCGAAGCACAATGGTTACTGTTCGTTAAACGGCCTTAGCCGGTTGGGCTTTGTAGCGGAGGAGTGATGTTTTCCCTGTGAGGTACAAACTGAATTTTCATATAATGTTCAGAAGAAATCCAGTCTTTAAAGGGTTAACAACGTTTTCAAAACACCAGACTCTAATATGGATCAGTATGTCTGAAAAGGGTGATCATCTATAGAACTTTTTGTGGAAATCTTCCATATAGAATTTCAGTAATATCTGTCAAATTCTTTGTTTGGTATACGGAAACTAGGTTTTGTTACGAATCAATATGGCTGAAAATTAGGATTACCCAGTAATGTTTGGTTCAGGTCCCTCTTATTGAATTTCAGTAAAATCCTTGGGAGTTTATGATATATATGGAGAAATTCATTTATGATCTTATATTGAGCAGGCTTTTTTATAAATTGAAAAAAAGGCCGTGGAGGCCCATAGGGGTGTGCGATGTCGAGACTCCCGCATATTCTAGACAATCGGCTCACAGATGGCGGTGAGGGTGTCAGCCTTACGCGTCGGCCAGCCGCCCTTTACCCCCCAGGGAAATTGCTGGTACTCATTTCTGTCAGAGGCTGAGTCGACCACAGGACCATGGTGCAGCTGGAAGGATTAGATCAATTGAAAAATCCAGTGATCTCATCGGGAATTGAACCCGTGACCTTCCAACCTGTAGCATAATGCCTCAACCAGCTACGCTACCGCGTGCCCCTGTTTTAAATCAATGTTGTTGAAAATGAGGCTCTCCCATAAGGAGTTTCAGCAACATCAGTGTAACGGTTTATGGCATGTGTAAGAAAAGTCGACCCGTGATTCTATATGAACCAAGCTTCAGTATGGTTCAATATGGTTGAAAATCGGAATTCCCCTGTTGCAAATTTTAATGCAATATACGCAACAGTGTAGGTGCTCATATGAGGTTACGGTCACGACCTCCACACAAGGTTTTCTTTTTGCTGCATAAAGAACTGTTATTAATTAAGCGTGTGATTTGTGGATGTTTGTGATGGAGACGGTAAAGAAGAGTAATAGGAGGGGGCGAGAATGGGGTACGGATAAATGACGAACAGACGGCAGCAACTTGGCTGCTAGTTTCTGTGCAAAGATAAATGAGCTGAAATCGTGTCATTTGTTTGTGCCCAGTCTGTTCACCTCAGGGATATCCCTGCTAATGGGGTGGTTACTAGAAGGCTCTGGACTCATCAGCCCCAGTGGTGGGAACGTCATTATGTTCATGAACCTCACTAAAAAATAAATAGGCTCATTTCATGGGTTAGGGTGTGTTTGACTTGTGAATGGAAGTGTGGGTGGCATTCCTCCGAATGGATGCAGCTACAGCCGGTACAAAATAGTTCTTGCATAGTGGCCGTGGTGATGGTGGATTGGGCAGGGGATTGTAGGGCCTCTGCTGGACAGATTCAATCTTTTTATTTTCTTACATTTTAAGTTCGTAGAATGCTTGCAGTTATTTAGTTAAAAAAAATTTCCTTTGCTTTTATAAGTAAAACTGTGAAGATGAAAATATACAGCAAAGAATATTATGTTCTAGTCTGTAACACCGTGTAATCTGACATAAATCCACTGATGTTTCGGAGGAACGTACTGCCTCCATCTTCAGTATCGAATAGTGAGTCAGGCAGAAATAAGATTTCGTGACACGCAGGGGTATGTTTTCTTATTACTTGCTTGGCTTATTCTTCAACTCTGTGGATGGAGACAGAACTTTACCGGACTTACTTACTTACTCAAGGAGCTGAGCCCTTCTTCAGGAGGAGCCGCCAATTGTGCAGCTACTCAAGAATTTACCAACATTTTATGGAACCCGAAGATTCATTACTATGTTCACAAGAACTAACCACTGGTCCCTACCTGAGCCAGATCAGTCTCATCCGTACCATGCCATCCTATATCTCTAAGATCCATTTTAGTATTGTCCACCCATCTACGCCTTGGTCTTCCCAGCAGTCTCTTTCCTTCTGGTTTTCTCACCGCCATACTGTACGCGTTCCTCGTCTCCACCATTCCTGCTACATGCCCTGCCCACCTCATCCTCCTTGACTTGATTATTCTAATTATACTTGGAGAAGAGTACAAGTTATGGAGCTCCTCATTGTGCAGTTTTCTCAAACACTCTTAATATCAGAGACCAAGTTTCACACCCATACAGAACCACAGGCAAGATTATAGTTTTGTATATTCTAATTTTTATGTTTTTAGACAGCAGACGAAAAGACAAAATGTTCTGGACTGAATGGTAGCAAGCATTTTTATTTCCTTGGCACTTCAGCTCCAGTGGGCCTAGGCCTACCTCCATGAACTTCTCCGTTCACTTCGGTTGTTCTAGATCTTAGACATACGGTAGGACTCCTTGGGCGGGTGATCAGCTCGTCACAAGGCCTCTACCTGTACTCAAACACAGAAAAACGCACACACACAAACTAAACATCCATGCCCTGAGTGGGATTCGAACCCACGATCCCGGCTTCCGAGCGAGCGAAGACAGTGCACGCCTTAGACCGCTCGGCTACCGTGACCGGCCGGTAGCAAGCATTACCCGAGTTTAATCTACTCTTAATTTCCTCCTGAATCAGGTTTTGATTTGTTGTCGTCGTTCCCAAATATGTGAACTGTACCACATTTTCAAAACATCTGTTTCCTCTCTTTATGTCATGATTGTACCCTGCATTTTGGTGACGAGACAGCAACATATACTTAGTTTTCTCTGTGTTTACTTCTATACCAACCTCTGTATTTGCGTCAATTAAAGTTTTTGTGTTTTTCTCTATGGTATCTATATTATCACCCAGTAGATTCACATCATCGGCATATACCAACAGCTGATGCGTCCTGTTTAATTTCAGTCCCACCTGGTTTCCCTGGACCTTCCTAATGGCATATTCTAAAGGAAAGTTGAAAAGGAGTGGTGATAAAGCATCTCCTTGTTTTAGACCATTCTGGATAGGAAAATTATCAGACAAATGTCAGACGGACTTTACTATACGAATGTTAAAGTTAATCTACCGACTACACAACACGTTTTATATTTACTGCCACACTACATGTTTCGACCTCAGGAGGTCATCATCAGGTGTACGAACACAATTTCACAATCACACGCAATCACTTCCTTTCTCCACTAATTTCCATCCTGTATCCTGTTCAGATTCACGCTCAAATAATATGTATAAGTTCTTCTTATACATAGTAGCCATCACGACAAGGAACGTAACAGATCCCACATCAGAGGACGCCGAAGAACGACAAGACCTTCAAAAAGTGAAAGGGCAGTCAATGTGACGAGTGAAGTTTATTTTTCACGAACTTTCTAAACAAGTGATAATAACGTAACTGGCTACAGGGAACTGAATTTTGAATTTTAAATCTTAATTTTTGACATTGGTATTTTTAACTTGTATTTTATAAGAAGAGCTTTTTAACTTATATATTTTTAACTTATATGGTATAAGAAGAACTTATACATATTATTTGAGCGTGAATCTGAACAGGATACAGGATGGAAATTAGTGGAGAAAGGAAGTGATTGCGTGTGATTGTGAAATTGTGTTCGTACACCTGATGATGACCTCCTGAGGTCGAAACATGTAGTGTGGCAGTAAATATAAAACGTGTTGTGTAGTCGGTAGATTAACTTTAACATTCGTCTAGTACACAACAGGATGCAAGGAACAATAAAAAAAAAGGACTTTACTATACGTTTCATTTAAACACATTTTAATCAACCTAACTAGTTTCATGGGTATCCCAAACTCTATTAGAATATTGTACAATACTTCCCTCCTAACTGAATCACAGGCTTCCTTGAAGTCTATGAATAGCTGATGTACTGTCTCATCATACTCCAAATTTTTCTCCAATATCTGACGAATGCAAAAGTTCTGATCTGTAGTTGATCTGTTACGTCGAAACACACACTGATGAATAATTTCATCTGTATATGGACTTAACCTTGAGAGAAGAATACTGAATAAAATTTTGTATTAAGTTGATAGCAGTGATATCCCCCTATAATTACTACAGTCAGTTTTATCACCCTTCTTGTGAACTGGTACAACAGTAGACTCCTTCCACTGATTAGACAATTCTTCCTTATGCCAAATAGAATTAATTAGACTGTGGATCTTAGAACGTAATATTTCGCCTCCTGCTTGAATAGGTTCTGCCGGAATTTGATCACTACCTGGCGATTTATACCGTTTCAATTTTGCAATATCACTTTCAACCTCAAAAGGGCTAGGATCAGGTATTAACGCTCAGCTGTATGGATTTCTCTCTGCCTAACAGCACTGACCCTATGTACATTCAATAACTGAGAGAAGCAGTTCCTCCACCTATTCAAAATGTTGTGGGAATCTGCAAGCAGGTCACCATTCTCATCCTTCAATAAGTTACTGCTAGGCTGGTAACCCCTGTTAAAGTCATTTATTCCTCTATACAGGTCCCTTGTGTTCTTGTTCTTACTGTTCATTGCAAGCTCATCAGTTTTGTCTTTCAGATATTCCCTCTTTTTGTTCCTGAAATGCCTGCTGGTTTCACGACTTATATTGTTCAGATTATCCCCATTTAACTCGCTTGGATCCTGTAACCATTGCAATTTGGTCTGCTTTCTTTGATCTAATAACTTTGAGCATCCTTCATCGAACCATGGTTTGCTCACTGCCAGTCTTTCCCTAACCTTTGCCACCACCAGGTATTGGTCAGTATCACAATCTGCTGCGCTGAATGACCGGACATCAAGTATACTTGAGTGCCGTCTCCTAGCTATCAAAATATGGTCTATTTGGTTGTGTGTCTTCCCATCAGGAGATGTTCAAGTAAATTTATGGATGTTACGATGTGGGAACATTGTACTTTTGACAGTAAGATTTTTTATGTGGCAAAGTTTACTACTCCAACTCCATTATCATTAATATTTTCATGCAAACTCTCATTCCCAATTGTTGGTTTGAAAATGTCTTCCCTCACAACTTTGTTATTGAAATCTCCTAACAAAATTTTCATAGGTTACTTCGGGAATATATCAAATACACGTTCTAGTTCTTCATAGAATCTATCCTTTATATCATCAATTTTATCTTCTTCTGGGGCGTGAACATTCATAACAATGATATCACACAAGCGATCTTTTAGTATTATACGAGTATATGATATCCTATCACTAACAAACTCTACCTCTTAACTGCTGATACTATTCTCTTATGTACGAAAAAACCTGTACCTGATTCATGATTTTCATTCCCCTTTCCATAGAAAATGTATAGTCTCCTGCTGGTGCGATGCCACCTCCATCCCATCTGACCTCCTGTACTCCCTCTAAATCTAACCTATATTTTAAGATTTCTTCTGCCACTGCCCTGAGAGAACCTGTCCTATACAAACTTCGAACATTCCAAGTGCCAAATCTCATTATATATATGGACAAATACCGTCTTAAGTGCAACAATTTTATTGTAGTTTTTACTTCTTTTTCCTCCTCCACACTACATGTTTCGGCCCTAAATGGCCATCATCAGGTGTGTATCACTCAC